ATCTTCTGTTAATTTTTAATTTTTTATTACACAAATTGCTTTTTTTAACAAGTTTACATAAATGTGAAAGTGGGAAGTGTCTAGTTGACTTGTATCTAGGTGTAGTCTTTCATGGATTAATTATTATGTGCATTATTTCTTTTGATTTAGTGATAGGAAGTAGATGTGGTAAATTTCCTTACTTTTGGTAAAATTAGAAATGTGTAATTATATAATTGTTTGTTTGATTTTCTCTTATTTGTTTCTAAGATTCATTTTAAGTGTTTTTATTCTTCTTACAGTATCTTGAATCAAGTGTCGGTTTACTCTACACATTGCTGGAGCAAGCAAATGAGTGTGACACCAAGGTGAGCTCATAGGTAACACTTGCTTGTCTAGGTGAATTTCTGTTCTTATAATATGAAATGTGTATTACAACATGTATGATGTAAAAATGTCTTGAATTGTGTATAATTAAAACTACCTAGATTTCTGTACATAATATGTTCCTTCTCATTTGTAGATGACTGTGCTCCATGTTTTGTCATTTATCATCGAGAGAGTTGGAAGTCAGATCCGGCCACATGCTGCTGCTCTAGTTCGCTATTTACCCCACTTGTGGGACATGTCTAGCCATCACAACATGCTCCGCTGTGCAATTATTTCAACACTCGTTCACTTGGTTCAGGTGTAGTATACAGAATATTTAGATCTCATACAAGTTAATATATAGAAATGTTTTTCTTCTGCTGATAATATTGTAATGTAGATATATGTATTCTTTAATAGACAGAAACAATATAGTTTCTATTGTTTAAGTTTATCTTATCTGATGAGGTTTTTTACCGGTTAAAAAATAAGAAAATAAAATGTAATTTAAATGGAGTTGAGGTTTAGTTTATATTTATTGAGATAGAATTTATTATACATTCTCATTATGCTTTTAGAAGCATCTGAAATGTTCACACAGTATTTTTAAACCATCTTTTAACTTCAGGGTCTTGGAACATTGAGTGAAAAGCTTCAATCATTCCTTTTGCCTGTGATAGCACACAGCACTGATGTAAATGAACCCCCTCATGTCTATCTATTGGAAGATGGTCTAGATCTTTGGTGGGCAGTTATAGAAAATTCACCAGGAAGTTCTCCAGACCTACTCCAACTTGCTGGCAGTATTTTCCCTCTGCTAGGTATGATAAACTGTAAATCTTCCCTGTCATTTTTCAGAGGTTCAGTCAAACATGATATAAACTTACAAGTTACTGAAGAACAAATTTAGATCTATTTTTGTAAGTAATATAAAGTTATTTTGTCAGAAAATATAAAAAATGATGATATAATGTTTGTATGTCAAGTGATTTTATAATTGGGTAATTTTAGTTACTGTATTGTTGTTAGATTGGTCAACTTTTTTGAACAAAAGTGAGAAATTGTTTTGTTCAATAACAACTTAACTACCTATTGTGAAAAATGTACAATTAAATGTAACTGATATTTCTAGTAATCATAATATTAGTCCTACAAGTAGGTAGCCAGACAGGTAGATAGATAACCAATAAATGATAAGAGCATATACAGTGTTTTCTAAGGTATTCACCCCCTACCAATAATGTGACATTTTGATGAAATACAAATAATGTAAACAATTTTTTTAATGAACTTGTTTTTATTCAAAACTTTAATGATCAAACTTAACACTGTTATGTGTGAAGGAGGTTGAATGTCAGCAAAACCTACAGAGAAAATATATAAATTGAAATTTGCTGATTGTGTAAGTATTCAGCCCCGAAGTCAGTACTTGGTAGAAGCACCTTTGGCAGCAGTTACTGATGTGAGTCTTTTTGGATAGGTCTCTACCAGCTTTTCACAATGGGATGGTGTAATTTTTTTCATTCTTCCTGGCAAAATTGCTCCAATTCTGACAAGTTCATTGGGGATTGTTGATGGACTGCAATTTTCAAGTCTCTCCATAAATTTTCTATTGGATTCAAGTCAGGACTTTCTTCTTTTGAAATCACTCCAGTGTGGCTTTGGTCTTGTGCTTCGAGTAATTATTCTGCTGAAATGTGAATTTTTTGATCCAGTTTCAGATTCTTGGTTTACTTGAGCAGGTTTTCCTCTAGGATTCGTCTGTGCTTTGCACCATCCATCTTTCCCTCAATCTTGACAAGCTTCCCAGTCCCTGCTGATGAGAAACATCTCCATAACATGATGCTGCCACCACCATACTTGACAGTTGGGATGGTGTTGACTGGGTGATATGCTGTGTTGGGCTTGCGCCAGAGGTAATGCTTTGAATTTAAACCAAAAAGCTAAATTTTCGTCTCATCTGACTACAAAACCTTCTGCCACATGTCTGCAGTATTACTTACATGCTTTGTCACAAACTCCATACGAGATTTAAGATTATTATTTTTCAGTAATGGCTTCTTTCTTGCCACTCGCCCATACAGGTCAGCTTTGTGTAGGGACCGGGATATTGTCAATGTTTGAATACTGACTCCCATTTCATAAATGGAACTTTGCAAATCTTTCAAAGTCACTGATGGCTTCACAGTGTCAACCCTAACCGGTTTCCTGCTTGCCCGGCTAATTAGTTTGGAAGAGTAGCCTGATATTGATAGTGACTGGGTGATATGAAGCGGAGTCCACTTCTTAATGAGGAATGTAACCGTACTCAAAGGGATAGTCAGTGACTTTGAAATGTTCTTGTAACCTTCTCCTGATTTGTGCTTCTCTATCACTTTATTCCTGACTTGTTTGGAAAGCTCCTTGCTCTTCATAGTTGGTTTGTTGTATCACTATGTCAGTTGTGGCTTGAACAGATGCATTTACTCTGAAGTCAGGTTAAACCACTTTGATTATACACAGACAGTAACTATTACACTAATTTTTTGACCTTTCAAACTAACCTTCTGCCCCTGAACTGATTTAGGGTTGCAGTAGCAAAGGGGTGGAATGCTTATCCAATTGAAAATATTTTAATTTTCTTTGAAAATCTAACTTGCATAATATCAGCGGTTTTCAACTTTCTCACTTTGCAGTAGATTGTGTAGATTCTAAATATGAAGTGTCATTTAAAAGTTTCGTGATTGTAAGCTCAGATGGCAAAAAAATGTGGAAACTTTGAGTAAAATGTACTTTCTGTTTGTAATTTTTTATTTTTGATGTGATAGATTCAAATAATTCTCAGAATTTTTGTTTAACTACGTTATATAAAAGTTCAACCAGATATTTGTAAATATTGAGTATTTTTCATATGAACTATTATATTTTATATCAAAGAACTTGGATCAGAGAACTTGCGGACATGTTTGCACATAGTACAAGGTTATATTTTGCTAGCACCTCAAGAGTTTCTTCAGGTAAGCCTTTAGTTTGTTTTTAGTTTGTCATAGAAATTGGTTTAGTCAAAATCAGCAATTAACTGATACTCATTATTTCCCAAGTAATCTAAAAGGTTATAAAACTATGTCCCCTTCATATTGTTCTGTAGCATAAATTTTAAGTTGTTAGACTTTATTTTTACTATATGTATTGAAATTAAGCATTATCTCTAATCAGTTGTTAATAAGAAAACTTGTATAATGTGCTGTCTTCTGTAAGGTTTCAGTTATGTCTGAAGTGTGGATTTTATTACCAAAATAATTAACATATAATTAACACGTACATTGAATTCTTCCATGTTTGCTTTAAGGGTTTTTTTGTTGTTGGAATTTTCAGCTTAAGGTTGTTCTGTAGTGTTTCATGAAAGCAGTTTTAGAGGTCACATTCTCCAACCTAGATGACAAAAATTAAAACTAAAATATAAGTCTTATAAAAATGATATTCAGTATTAAACTGTAAAATAAAACAGCTTAGAATGGGTTATAGCTTTTTTGTTATGTTAAGGCAGTACAATGTGGCCATCTACATTTTGAAAGTTTTCTTTACAAACTGCTATGAAATAAATTACATATATATTCCAAATGTATATATATATATACTGAGACATCAACTGAAGTGTCTCAGACAGAAATGAATATTAACAAGATCTAATAAAATTTAATGAAAGTTAAAAGCTATTCAGATCATTTCTTATTTTTTTATATTAATTATGTTTGTATGTTGATTAATAAATTCTTTAAACATCATTTTGGTTAATTAAACTAATTTTGCATTTTATCAATTTAAAAAAAAATCTTACTTAGGAATCACTGATCATACAGTGTTTATAAATGTAAGATGAAAGATAACTTTATCAAAATCTCCACACTTTTTTTTTCCATAAGAGTTTTTATGTTTTTTCTTATTCTTTGGTTCCATGGATATTTTCAGAACTATGGACAAAACCTAGTGAGTTCTTGTTGTAGCATGATAACAGATATTCGACCAGAAGGAATGGTGTTAGTCATGAGGGTAATTTCCTTTTAACTTTAAATAAATTGAAATTTAAGGTTTGTAAACTTAATTATTTGAAATTGTGTTTAAAGCTGTTGATAAATAATTGGGATTTTTCTTAATTCAAAAAGATATTATACACTGTTTTTTCCACCCTGTTATAAATCATGATTAGCTTCAGAATCAGTTTTGAATACTTTGATAGAATAGGTAATAATTTAACAAGGAGGGTTGTGGTGACACAGGATTTAGAAACATGAAAGTTTTACATACTTATAGCAAGAATAAAAATAAATATTAGTTGAGTATTGTGGGAAAAATGTCTTTTTTAAAAAGCTGTATTTCTCCCATGTGTACATTTTGCTGTTGAAGTTACATGAATAAAGTAATTTCAAATGTAACATTACATTTATTTAAGTATTTGCTATTATAGAGATGCATAATTTTGTTGTTTCCTACCCTTCTTTAGCATGTAACATAAGTATTTTGTGTTTATCTTCCCAGTGTGTTGAAGTAGTGCTGCGAGTATTCCCAGAAGAAGGCTCTGATCTCTTTCATCCACTGTTGTCCACAGTTCTTTCTTCTCTGTTACAAAATGAGGTAAAGTATAAAAGTACTCCAAATATGTTATATTTGTTATTGTTTTTATTGGTTCTAATCCTGAATTTTGATCACTGTTTCATTGTACTTTCTGCTGTAATTCAACTTTGATTTGCCAAAGAGTAAATTAAATTATCAATACATATTTTACAAATTCACAGATTACATTTTTCTGTTTTTTTTATATATTCAGGATTTCCCAATGGTAGCCTCCATGTATCTGTCATTGTTAGCACGGGTTATTCTTCACAATCAGAGAGTATTTGCTAAGTTGCTTCAGGATAAAGCTTCAGAGAAAGGACAGCAGGTGAGTTGTTCAGTTTTCTTATCTTTTAGTTTTGTAGTTAACACTTAAAATTCCACCCTGAGGCTTTAAATGTGTGCAGGTTAGTGCACATTTGATTTTGATAGTAAGTATGTTAAAATTTTTTGTAGATGAATAATATCATATTGTTACATATTCCTTACATAAATAATATTCTTGGTTCAATCTTTATTTTTCTTTCATAGTAAATCCTCTGTTGATTAGCTAGTAAGTTCTCTTAAAAGACCCAGCTAATAGTTTGGACTTATTGTAACATTTTAGAACTAGTTAGAGATTTTCTTGGGCAAGTGAAATTGTTTAATAGTTTGTAAAGAAAAAGTAATAATAATAGTAAATAAATTATAGATATAGCTGAAAAAAAACCCATAAATAAATAAATAATTGATTAATCAATATTGGTTATAGAAGATGGATTTAAAACAGTTGTTTCTATCAGTTGAGTACAACTTTTCCTGAAGTATTAATTTATTCCTTTTGTGGGTTAAAGCAGAAATTTCAGATTAAAAACAAATAGTTATATAAAATATTACCTGCTGGTAAGTCTGAAGGCTTATAATGATAAATATTGAATTTCAATAGCTGTAGTTGGCAGACCACAGGTAGCCTATTGTGTAGATTTGTGCTTAACAACAAAACATATAAAATGTTATTAATACCTTCTTGGTTCTTATATCCTAGAATGAAAATTTTTTGTAATTTTTTGGCTTATTTTACATGCTATGGTAAAACAATCTGAAATTATGACAGTCATAAATCCAGGGATAATTACCTTTATATTCTGATACTATGACAATATTAATAATAGAGTAAACAGGTTTTGATGCTAATCTTGATTTACATGCATTGGTTTTATCTTGTAGACTGAAGAAGTTTTGAGCAGCATGCTGGACATCTGGCTAGAAAAGATGCCTTTGGTTCATCCTGTTGAAAGAAGAAAGCTATTAGGCTTAGCTTTGACTTCTATGATTACTTCTAATGTAGTGTAAGTAAATAAATAGAATTACTTTCTTGGCTATGGTCAGATAAATTACTATTTGTATAACATTTGGTTAAAGAAAATTTATTACTTCAATACTGTTTGTGTGACAGTAATTTACAATATAATTTTGATTGGATAGAAAATATTTGTTATTTTGAAAAAAGGCCTTAAAAGCAAAAAAAGTGCTTTCGAAGTAGTAAGACCACCCTTTTTTTAAGTTCTCTAGTATTTTTGGATGTTTATTGATGGATTGTAATTTCTTTTTATGTTTTTAAAATGAATTTATTGCATTTGAGTGAAGTTTATTTTATTATATTTATTTAGTGTAATTCATGATCGGTTTTGTGGTCTGCTTCTGGCTGTAAATGAAGTTCTGAATGACATTATTAGAACAGATGACCCAGAGGCTATGATAGAGTAAGAATTTTTTTTTCTATACTCTTTTTGCAAGGAATTATTTATTACATTTTTTCATGAAATGTGGGACATTTAGTTTCAGTAAAAATTTAACATCTGAAGGTTTTAATAACAATTGTCAAATTCATATTTCACGAAAGAGTTAAAAGGTAGAATTGTTTTCCATTTCATTCAGGTTTAAGTATAATTTTATAATTTCTTTTTTGGGCCAAACATGGCCTAGTAATTAACTTACTAGGCTACAAATTAGAAGATCTAAGATTCGAACCCTCGACATATTTCATCTGTGAACACATTACTAAAGTGACAATCAATCTTTTCATTCATGTTACTTCTTTAAAAGTATCCTCATGAGCAGTGGGTACTCATTGTGAATTATGAATGGCTATGTCTGAACCTTGTGGTCTCTGAACTGATTGTTTAGTCAGCATATTGCATAAAGAGCCATTCAGGTTGAAAATACCAAATATAATTTTCTTTTATCGTATAATTGTGTTGTTATTGTTAAATATCTATGTTTAAATGTTCAATTTTTTGGTTTACATATTGAGTTTTGCAGTGTTTGAAACTATTTTTTAATATTTTTCAGTATAGAAAGTTATTTTTGTATATCTTGTATTACCTTTTGAACAACTAGGCCTCACAACACTTCTGTTAATGAAAACATAATTTTGGAGTACTGAAACTATGCCACTTTTCTTAAATTACACACTTAAAAATTAGTATAGTACTTATTTCCGAGATGACAACTCACCTCTGAACACAGTAAAGCTATATTCCTTGTGTGTCTACCTACAAGACTTGCACGCCATTAGCCTTGAGGCATCTCCCACCTAATTTCACGTGTTTTAATGTAAACTGCACTAGTACATGATCAAATACTCCTATATTTTAGTATTTATTTCTATATTTCACAGAAATTTCTATATTTCCTTTATTTATGAATACAAATATTCAAAGAAAAGGATGGTAAAAAAAAATTACCAATTAGTAGCGGGTGGTCATCGAGTTAATGTAAACATTTTGCAGGAAAAAATATTGCAAAGTCTTTTAAGACTTTATATTTTTACACTTTCGCTCAATATATTTGTATTTCTTTCAAGTGTGGTGGCACTGCCAAGCCCACCCACTAATAGCCTCAGTTGTTGGATATACTATCTGGATCCATTTGGATCAAGAAAACCATTGTTCTCACATTTTGATGGACTGGGTTTTTTTTGGCAGTAAAACTAAAAGCATGATTCTGATAATAAATTTGTCAGCATAGGGAAATGCAGTATTAAGTACTATTATGGTAATAATAGAAACATTTGTAAGTTTTGGATGGAGGAATGTTCAGAATGTGTTAACTAGAGCAACCTATCTAGGTGTTTTTCAAAGAAATGCTGAAAATTTGTTAAAATATCCAATAACTAAAGCTCTTTTAGAAAGTTTTCATGGCAATTTAAGCTTTCAATACTTATTCCAGGTAAGATTTGCTAATTATTACAGGAGACAAAATTAGTTTTAATGAAAGTTGATTGTCTGAGTTTGATGGAAATGGACATAAAGTGAATTTGTGGTGTGTTAAAGGAAATACCTTGTATCAGGCAAAGTGTACCATCTGTAAATCTGAAATCCAATGTGATAACAGCAGACTTAAGTGAATTCTCCAACATGCGTCAGAATCCCATCATAAAACTGAGTATATCCTTTCTTTCACCAAATCACACGGAACTCCCTTTCAAATGTCAACCAACCACTGGTTCCTCAAAGGAAAGTGCAAGTACAGTGTTTGAAAAAGCAGAACCTTCTAGTCAGATATCTGGGAAGTTAACTGGAAAAGATAAATCAACAATTCTGACTTATACTGTATCAAGAGAGGAGACCTTGTGGGTGGAAGTTATCTTGGTGGCAAAATGTGAATTGTTCAACTTAAGTTTCAGAGCTAGTGATGATATTGCTGCAACTTTCAAGGCAATGTTCAAATGCCCAAAAGCAGACAATTTCAGTATGAGCAGAACAAAGTTATCTTACCTACTATCAGCTTTCACTTCTGTTTTGATATATGATGTACGGAATTGAAATAACTTTTTCATTGCAGTATGTTCAAACAACTCAGACACAGGTAAAAAAACAAATGGATCTCTTGATAAGGTACTGGTCCCCAACCCATCATAAAGCCTGGTGCAGATATTCCAAGTCATTGTTCTTCTCTTATATAGGTGGAAAATCTGTTGCCAACTGTGTGGTAGAAACATTACAGGATGATTGTATGCCATTGGAATCCCTAGTTGCATTGTGTAGCGATGAACCAAATGTTAACAAAACAATCCTTAGAGAAGTTTCTAAGCTAGTCAAAGCTGCTGGTTCAGAATGGAATGATCTTGTTGATATAGATGCATGTAATCTTCATACAATGCACAATACCTTGAGCAAGGACATAAAATATGATCAGGAAACACAACAATTAGCGATAGATTTATTTGGACTATTCAAGATTTCATCTAGAAAAAGGGAGGTTTGCAAAGACATACAAATAAATCTTTAATAAATCCATCATGTGACAGAAACATTTGAAACTGATCGATGGGGAAAAAGAAGCAGAAGTGACAGAAGAGGAAAGAGAAAGAAGCTAAACCTTCTTTCTGACAACGTCTTACTCTGAGGGCTATCTACCAGAGGTGTTCCAAACAATGTAAATATCGAATTGGGTTGTTTAGTCACATGAGAACATATTCACCCTAGGAGACATCGTCTTTGCTCGCGAAGGACTGCCAATGACAATTAGCTCAGTTTTGGTTTCCTCAGCTTCTTTCCTCTATCCAATTTCCCCTCTTTTCTAGCTTCATCCTCACACATCCCTTTTTCATCTTCCCTACATCTTCACATGTGAGATTTGTCTGATCTGCCACCTTTTGAGCTCAAATCACCAATCATGTGTCATTCTTATTGTCACCCTTCCAGTGTGTTTGTCTACCACCAAACTGGTGGGTCTGCACTCCTTTACTTTTGGCCATCCTACTGTGAACCATCTTTCTGCCTTTGTACCTGACTGTTCATCCATAGTTTTTGGACTCCTTTGCCTTTGTTGGTTATTGAGCGGCCTTGTTCATGGCATTTTTCCATGAAACGTGATGTTTCTTCCCCTGTACTCCCCACTTTGTAATGCTCCTTTATTCTTCTCTGACCTCCTTGCCAGTAGCGTGGGGAGGGGGGGGGAGCGAAAGGTGCCGGGGCCCCGGACATCCATATCAGGAGGGCATCCAACGCAAAGAGTCGAATCGAATAGTAGAACCCTTTCCGCCCTTCCCCAAGGTTTTAGCTACAAGGCCCCGGGCATCATAGAACCTCTGCACGCCACTGCTCCTTGCCCAACCTGCCTGAGATCTTAGTAGAGATTTACACGCTCTCACACATGCCCCACTTGTGCTATTGACTTTTTGTTTTTGTACCATCTTTTTCCCCAGATTTGTTTCCTCCTCCTTTTCACCTGCAATTACTGTCATTCCATTGTATATGCTATGGATGCTTCTTGCATACTCTTCCATCATACTTATATACTTCTTTCCCCAGACCAATCTTTCCTTCCTAAGACCACTGCTCAGCAAGGTAATCTTACTTTATCTTCCTCTCTTCTATCTTTTACATATTTGATTCTTTGGACCTGGATGAGCTCCTGTGTTCTATTTGAGCTGTTCAGTGTTCCTTTTGGGGACCCCACCATTGCCTGTCTCTACCCTGGGACCCCTTTTCATTCAGGGTTCTTTTCCCTCATCCATCCCTTACTGGATGGGTCCATTGCCTTCTCCATTTGGTATTTTCATCTCTGGATGTGGATGCTTGTTGGCTATTTCACATTATTTCTCCTTTAATTCCTCACCTTTTTCATTCTCTTGCATCTCAACTTCACTAGCTCTTGGACGAGATCCTCCAGATGGGCATGTGAATGACTCCTCACACATCTCTCCTTATCTACAGCATGTAGCATTTTCATCTCCTGCTGTATTTTGGCTTCCAGCTGTTGCTATTCTTCAATCACCCCACCATCTTTGAGAAGAATACGTACAATTTCCTTTTCAGAGTACCTTTTCATTTTATATGATGCCACCAGGTGGCTGGTGTTGCCTCTCAGGGTATAGTTTCACAAAATCTGCATTGAGCCGAGATAACAGAAAGTGCTAATGCCATCCATTCTGGCTTTACCAGTGCCTACTGTGACATGGGGTGTTCCACAAGACCACTTGAGGTATCCTTGTGATATACACATTTACTCAATTGTCGGATGTCTGATCCAGACAGTACCTATTCCATGGACTGTCAAAGAGAGAGCTAGCACCAGGGAGGTCTTTTGCCCACTTCTCTGGCTCATGCTTGCTGACTTTTGAAAATAAGTTTTTGTGTTCACTCATTATACTGTTGCCAGTAAAAGGCCTTTCCAGCTGCAGGTGCATTGGGGATCTGGGAACTTCTTTGGGTCTCCACATTAGGAAATCTCCTCTCCCATTCATCAAGTGGAACATAGTAGACCCTTGCCACTTACCAAATTTCGAGCTACTGGTTGGGCTTAGCACAGTATGGAGAGAATTGAGGTGGTGGTGATACTGTCACCCCTCCAAACCATAACTCATACAGTTTGTGCCCTCATCATGCAGCTAGAGCTTGTTCAGTTGAGTTGTGGTGAGCACACAATGTACAGAGACATTATCCACAACCAAAGTGCCTTCCACTGCAGCCCAAGTCTGTTCAGTGTTCAGTGGAATTGAGGTGAGCACACACTATTTGAAACAAAACTGCATAACTGAAGTGCCTTCCTGCTTCAGCTGGAGTCTATCCTGTAGAGTCTGTTCAGTACAGTCAAGGTGAGCACACAAAGTATGGTCTGAACACTCCCCAACCACATTACACATATTGCTTGCCAACTACTTGTGTGTAAGTGCTCGGATGGTCATATTCTCATTCCACCTATTCCCGCGACACATGGGGTTTATTTGCCTCTTCCCCTTTTAATGGGTGTGCCCCTATGGATTCCCTGCCATCAGGTGTCACACTCCATGGGCCTCTCTTGGGATCTTTCTGAAGGGATCTTGTCTAGATAAGTGTTTTGAATCAGCTCTTCCACCATTTCAACATGGGATTTTTAGTTTTTCTGTGTGTGGGGATGAGTTATTGTCTCTCAAGTTAACATCTTTCTTACCTGAAAATATATACTCATACGCATTATATAACAAGTGCAAGTGCATAAGGGGGAGCTACTGTACATGCAGGTTGTGTCATCCTCCTATTGGTGTGGGGGGGGGGGGGCTTTTTCTCATGTTGACATCATCATGTGCCAGTGCAATTCACATTAAAACAGGTGAAATTAGGTGGGATTTGCATCAAGGCTAGTGGCATGCAATTCTTTTAGGCAGATGTGTAAGGAAGATAGTTTTTCTGTGTGAGGAGGTGAGTATCTATCAGAAATATTAACTAACAAAGAGTATTCAAAATTTCAAAAATTATTTTTCTAGTTTTTACATCATTGCTAATCTTCTTCACGTTTTGTAGCATGAAATAAAACATTTGCCTATAACAAGTCTTCATCATTTATTATTGATCATTGTAATTTAGTAAATACCATTTAATCCTCTAATTACATTTTTTTTTATATTTAAGTTTATGTCTGATAGAACTATTTTCTGAAAGGTCCAGAGTGTGAATGTGTTCAAAATTGGTTAAAATTATAAAGCATTAAATGAAAATTTGATAATGAATAGCAATCAATTATTCCTAACTTGTATAACGCTCATTCTCAGCTCTCTTGTTCTAACTAATTCGGATGAATTACACCAAGATCATGATGAAGAGACAGAACACGACAAGAGAAAACGAGAAGTAAGTGTAATGATCCTGGTCTAGGTAATGTTTTTAGCTAGATATTACACTTTCTATTAAGTATTACTAATATTTAAAAATGAACTGAATTGAAACAGATATATAATATGTTAAATATAAACTACATAAAAGATACTGGTAATTTTTCATTTACAATTTTTGCATCAGAACAATGTTTTGATATCTACCAGTACTATTTCTGTATATTCAGATATGACAAACACATCTGAACTTCATCTTAGAATGTAAAAAGTAATATTGCAAAGATCAAACGTGCTTTTTAAAAATGAGCTTAATTTTTGATGTTTTAATACGCTTGTAAGATGTTTGCTTTTGAAACATTTGAGTGTGTTCAATAACTTGAATTAAGTTTATTTGTTGATCCTTTTAAAACTGTAACAGTGTACGATTTATGTTTTTCAGGTTTTACATTTAACTATATTTTATCTTTCTGTTACTTTGTACTGTATAACAGTAATGTTTTATGTTTCTCAGAAATTGTAGATATAACTGCCTTATTTTTCTGTTACTTGGTACTGCATAACAGTATATGTTTTATGTTTCTCAGAAATTGTGGATATAACTGCCTTATTTTTCTGTTACTTGGTACTGCATAACAGTATATGTTTTATGTTTCTCGGAAATTGTAGATATAACTGCCTTATTTTTCTGTTACTTTGTACTGCATAACTGTATATTTTATATTTCTCAGAACATATAACTGTTTTATCTCTTTGTTACTTTGTACTGCATAATAGTGTATGCTTTATGTTTCTCAGGTCTTGTACATATTTTATTTCTTGTTACAATGTACTGTATAACAGCATATATTGTATGTGTCTGTGATATTGTACATTTTAATAAGGTAAAGTTTATGCTGGCAAAGAATAATCTGTTGTTTGATAATTGGTGTCATTATTAGAATGATAATAACTTTATTTTTGTCCTTCTTTACTGGCCCAATATTGGTTCCCAGTAGAAAGGAATATAGTATAATTTCAATTGTGCATTTTGTGTGTTGCATGCCCCTGCCAACAAGGCCTTTTTCTCAATGCTAGAGCTAATCAGGACAGCTATAGTATTATATTTCTCTGGCCTTGTGCTATAACAGTTTCTCTTATCTCTCCACCAGTGATTCACGACTTATTGTACATATAATCCTGGGGGTACATGAGAACTTTAGGAAAACATTAAAAATAAAATAAATCCCCCATGTCTCAAAATAGGAGGGCAGTCATGGTGAGTTATACACCATAATTATATACACTACAACTGGATATTTTTATTTCTGTGACCTTGTGCACTGTGACTGTATATTTTGTGTTTATCTGATCATTTACACTTTAACTGTAAGTTTATATTTCTTTGATCTTTTATGGTATAGTTATATATTTTATGGTTGTCATGCTCTAATTAGATTTTTTCCCCTCAGTTGTCTATACATGACCCCGTGCACACAGTGGCCCTGAGAGAATATCTGTGTACCCAGATGAATGCCATTCAACAATCTCTTGGCCAGAGTACATTTGAACAGTTGATGTCAACAGTGGATGCTGAAACACTTCAGCAGCTCAAGGAATATATTCGTGCTTGAGTACTGAATAGTGGTTTAAAGTGACTAATGATTTGTACTGTTTGTTAATGCTTTGTACAGAAATGTCTGGTGACTCATTAACTACTGTTTGATCTCAGGCATTGTTGTACAGTTATTACGGACCTTGATTGGTAACCGAAATTGGCCACTTGGATGGTGGCCAGTAAAAGTGAAGTTGTCACATACACTGTTATGAATGTTTATCATTCTATACATTTTTATGAGAATGATAATATTACGTGAATTTATTTTATAAATAGTTGGCTTACACTATTTATTCCGTTATCTACTAGTACTAATCTCATATGAAAATCTTAGCTTCTGGTAAAGTCTTATAAGAAAATATAAGCAGTTAAGATCTTATGCAGTTTTCCAAGATCTAATTGGACAATATTACTATGTTTTGGAAAGTCTCGCATGATGGAACTTGTATAACTCAGTTGTTAGATCGTAAACCATCACTGAAAACCTTGACAAATTGTTTATTAAATCTTGTTAATTTAATGAAATTTTTTTTTAAATGGTTGTAAGTTATAATAAAGAGGTCTTGTCTAGCAAAGATATTGTAAGCCTTTGTTAAGCATCTAAAAAGTTATGCAAGTCTTGGAAAATTTTAAGATTTTAACAAGAAATGCTTCAGTGCTTTTTACATTGATTTAAAGATGAATGAGCCATCAGGGATGAAAGCTTGTATTTTGATTCTGTTAGATAGTAATCATTTTCTTGTGTTCAAAATTATTAATTAAGTAATAAGATGAAAACATTAAGTTCCTTTTAGGTTTAGCCAAAATAACAAGAATAAATTTCTTTAGCTTTAGTTAAGTAAACATAACTGAAATATGAGCATATTAAATGTTATACATCTTCCAAAGTACCTTTGTTGAAATAAAAAATAAGACATTTATCTTCAACTTGATTATATCAGCGTGTTACATATTGGGAAAAAATAATAATAAAATGAGTTGAATCTCGGAGCTGTACTTTTTCAAAATAAATGGAAAAAGAGTTAATGAAGAAGAGAAAAAAATCCAAGAAATTTAATTGAAAGTAACATTAATTTGGGATTTTATGCTTTGGTGGAATTTTTCATTTTACTCAAAGGAAACAATACTTTGTTCATAAACTGTTAACTTAAAAAATACAAATATTTTACACGACTCTTGTATGTCACAAACAAAATTTTGATTTCATCATACTACAATATTTTCATCATTTGTACTTTATATCATTCATAATTTTTCCAACTTTATTGCACACACTATGTAATTTTGTTATCTTCAGTAATGTTTTTTCCAACTTTATTGCACACTCTTTGTAATTTTGTTATCATCAGTAATGATTTTTCCAACTTTATTGCACACTCTTTGTAATTTTGTTATCATCAGTAATGTTTTTTTCCAACTTTATTGCACACACTATGTAATTTTGTTATCATCAGTAATGATTTTTCCAACTTTATTGCACACTCTTTGTAATTTTGTTATCATCAGTAATGTTTTTTACAACTTTATTGCACACTCTTTGTGATTTTGTTATCATCAGTAATGATTTTTTCCAACTTTGTTGCACACTCTTTGTGATTTTGTTATCATCAGTAATGGTTTTCCAACTTTGTTGCACACACACATTTTGTGATTTTATCATTATCAATAATAATTTTTCCAACTTTGTTGCACACACTATGTGATTTTGTTATCATCAGTAATAGTTTTCCAACTTTGTTGCACACACTATGTGATTTTGTTATCATCAGTAATGGTTTTCCAGCTTTGTACACACTTTGTGATTTTATCATCAGTAATGATTTTTCAACTTTGTTTTGATTTTATTTATTCCATTTCTGAACTGCACTGAGGGGGAAAAAAAGAGAGATTAAATTAAGGTAAAATCCCAGCTCACAGTGTGAGGCTTAATGAGGCTTACAGCTTAATCATTGCTAACTCATTAAAAATGAGCAATATATGAAATTAATAATATTTTTTCTGTGCTATTTGAGTGCACTGAGGTCTGGTCTTCATTGTTTCTGAACAATTCGGAGTCAAAATGAACCATTTGTCAACTAACAATTCATCCTAAGAGCATGTTGTGAAGTACTGATACGTATCCTAGTGGCATGTTGTGAAGTACTGATACGTATCCTAGTGGCATGTTGTGAAGTACTGATACGTATCCTAGTGGCATGTTGTGAAGTATAGATACGTATCCCAGTGACATGCTGTAAACTACTGATACATATCCCAGTGACATGCTGTAAACTACTGATACTTATCCCAGTGACATGCTGTAAACTACTGATACTTATTCCAGTGACTTGCTGTAAACTACTGATACTTATCCCAGTGACATAATATGAAGTACTGATAGTTATCCTAGTGACATAATATGAAGTACTGATAGTTATCCTAGTGGCAAGCTATGAACTAATGATACTTATCCCAGTGGCAAGCTATGAAGTAATGATACTTATCCCAGTGGCAAGCTATGAAGTAATGATACTTATCCCAGTGGCAAGCTATGAAGTAATGATACTTATCCCAGTGATGTGCTGTGAAGTAATGATACTTATTCCAGTGACATAATATGAAGTACTGATAGTTATCCTAGTGGCAAGCTATGAACTAATGATACTTATCCCAGATAATTTATATGGATATATGCTGCAGGAATCAGCCTGGTGATTATACTGGTTTGTGTTTGCGTGTAGCATTTGATACAGTACACTATATAAACACAAGTTTAACAACAACGAAAGAAACATGTGGACTAGTCACTTGTTAAGTTTTATACAATGTTTAAGATATTTGGAATCATTCATAGTATGATAAGATAGTTTTAACACTAATTTTATGTTTTTATCCTGTTATGTAGTTTTTGTGATTAATTAGTTATTGGTGTAAGACAGTAATAATGTAACATAATATAAGTCTAATATTACCTTTCTTTGAGTTACTCAGTATTATGATTTCATATTTACATATTCATATTCAAAATAGCTTTTATTGAAAGTTTATGTGTAAATGATGTCTTGCTAGCTGTTCTCGTACCAAAAAGAGAATTTTTTCTAAACAGCTGTTTGACATTGAGAAGATAATTGAAAGTGAGTTTGAACTATGATTGGTTATTTTATGGATTAAACTAAATTAATTGGTAGTGTAGGAAAAGATGGTTGCATTTACAGCAACACTATTTTATTTTCACTTAACTGTGACACAACTTATTTGTAGCTATACATACTTAGTCACCTTTTTTTTCTTTTTTATATCAAGTTAATCTACCAATTAATCAATTACATATAAAAAAACATGAAAGAATAATAAGCAATAAGACAGTAGTGGTTTTTGTAGCATGTGGAAAACCTTGTTACTTAAAGCCACTGTTTCAAAATTAAAATTTAATATATATATATATTTATTCAAAATTCAAACTTTTTCTTCTATGTAGTTATTTGATGGTAAATTCTTGAGAATTTAATTTAGAGTTAAGAGGGAGTGTTATAGAATAGATAACCAATATGCTCATGAATAGCCAATATCCTCTACAAGCTGATGTATCTACACAATGCTGGCCTATAGATTACCCCTAATGGCTCCTGAGAATATAAAGTTAATGTAATGATACTTGAATAATACCTACATAGTTCATTGTCTTTTGGTTCACGAGCTAACAGTTGCATATTGGCTTAGACAGATTTTTACATGTGTTCACTAAATAGAAGAGGCTCAATATTTGCAAAATATTCTCAGCAAGTACTAATATATTATCAACTGACATTGTTGAAAGATGTTCTATAAGGTTGTATGCAAGTAAACTGTTCAAGTTGTGAACATTACAGCTCCAAAACTGGTTCAATCGTTTTATTAAACATTTTGTTGCACAGTGAATTCTCTGAGAATTTCTTATGGAGTTATAATAATTTTTATAAACAGTACTATAGAAGTTTTATGTCACAAGTACAGTTGATTATTTAAAATGAATTAATGTGTGGCATCTTAGTAGTGAAGTAGGAGATACAGTGAGTAGTGGCCACACAAAGTAGTAACAACAGTGAGTAGTGGCCACACAAAATAGTAACAACAGTGAGTAGTGGCCACACAAAGTAGTAACAACAGTGAGTAGTGGCCACACAAAGTAGTAACAACAGTGAGTAGTGGCCACACAAAGAAGTAACAACAGAGAGTAGTGGCCACACAAAGTAGTAACAACAGAGAGTAGTGGCCACACAAAATAGTAATCACAGAGAGCAGTAGGCATACAAAATAGTAATCACAGAGAGCAGTAGCCATACAAAATAGTAATCACAGTGAGTAGTGGCCACACAAAGTAGTCACCACTGAAAGTAATGGCCACACAAAGTAGTAACCACTGAAAGTAATGGCCACACAAAGTAGTAACCACAGTAAGTAGTGGCCACACAAACTAGTAACCACAGTAAGTAGTGGCCACACAAACTAGTAATAACAGAAACTAGTGGCCACACAAAGTAGTAACCACAGAGAGTAGTGGCCACACAAAGTAGTCACCACTGAAAGTAATGGCCACATAAAATACT